GGCAAGTGATCTCGACGCCGGAAGATTGCGATAAGGTTTGAGGGTTCCCAATGACAGAATCTCGAACTTACCATCGTTGTAGTTCTGGAGCGCATCGAGCATCCACTCAGTCACCTGAGTTGCGCCTTAAACTCCGAACTCGTTTGCCGCATCGAGTCTGTGCATCCCCTCAGGATAGTAGATCGGTTTGCCGCAATAGGCACAGATGTGTAGTCCACACACATATTCGCCACCACATGTGGGACAGAGACCTTTCTGCATCGGCATCTTATCGCGATCGTAATTGTCCCTGGCCCCGGGCCCAGTGCCGAACCCTGGACCGCCAATGTATTTGAATGGGCTGTTGAAGAAGATCGAGCCTGTGTCGGTAAAGAAAGCGAGTGCCATGCACGCGATCGGGATATTGTCTTTGATTGCGTAGTATCCAGCTCCGTGATAGTATATCCGGTTGAGAAATCGTGCGCAAATGTGAAGATCGATAGCGCAAGCAACCATCCGATTGGATGAGGCTCCCTCCTTCATGGCAGTGACGCCCAATGCATCATCGCTGAGAGTCTCACGACGAGGCTTTCGCCTGGATTTCATGTAGGCTTCAGTCCAGGCGTTTCCCTTATCTGATGCAGGCGAGAACGGAAGGAGCGTTGTGAACAGCGACCCTTTCGATGGGATAATTTTGTCATCGGTCATGTGACCCATGAACTCCCTCATCGACACATAGAGCCATCCGTATGATGGATGATTCCGATCGCACGCATTCATGTGCCTATTGTTGGCATCGTAGGAGTCTGCAGCAATCGGAGTGAACGGAGAATCGGCTGACTTCATGAACTTTCGAAAGCTGGAGAAGCTATTCATTCCGAAGCCATAAATCGCACGCACTCCCACGAAATTGGGAATGCCATCACTGCTAATTCCTGCATGGAAGAATTCGAATCGTATGCAATGGTCCCGCCTGGCGATCTCACGGATCGCCTCGACCACCACTCGGTCAGGTTCCTCGTTTTCATCATATATCGTAGTTCTTTCGAGGGTTCTCTGGCCGTTCGCGGCTTTGTCCAAGAAACGAATTTCTCGCTCCATGTAATTAAACGTAGTCTCCGTCGAGATAATGCCGCTAGAGTCGAAGTAAGTGTATATCGGAACTCCGTGCTTCACTTCATTGTCCTCACCAGTGTCGGGGTATACCCGCGACTGGGTGAGGGCTCGGAACAAAATCTTCCCGATGAATTCGACGAAGGCATCATCTTTCACCTTCGTTGGGGGATGCGTTGCGCATCGTCGACAGTAAGCCTACAACACTTGACGTTCTGGCCTCCTATCGATCGGGTTTTCTCAGAACGAGACTTGAACTCCCGCACCGGGTCATTGATCGTTTGACACGCGCCGACAGTCTCTTCTCTGAGCACCGGTGGTGCGTTTCCCCTTCTTCCTTCGGCGCTTTGGTGGAAAGCATTATGGATAATGCTAAGCTGCTTGACGCGAAACATCGACAGCATCTTAGCAGAGAAGGTTCTCTGCTTATCACTGGGCGGGAGAACTGTCTTGCCCATCACTCGGCCGTACGTAGTCTCATCATCTCCAACGTCTTCTGCCATTCCGGGCACTACAAATGAACGGAGAATAACCGGCACAGGAGCGGCCTCGTACTCGATCGTTGGCGCGAGAGACACAAGCTCCTTAGTTGGGAATAGCAAGTCAGGCCGGTATATCGCTGTAGGCTCGTTGTCGACCGTTACAGTCACGTCCGCCTGATTAATCTCTGGAGCGGAAGCTGAGTCGTCCGCACACAAATCGAGAACACGAGGACTGACTCCGGACAGCGGCGCAGCTCTGCTTGGCATATCCGTCGGCTCAGCTGGCCTACTCCCGCCAGGTGGCAGAACGCTCTGAGCAGTGCTCTGGATCGTAGCTGTTGAGGGAGCGCTAACGAGCGGAACGCCCGTAGCAGCTGCAACCTCATTGCTGTCATCCTCGGCAGGTACCCCACCCATGTCAACATCTTCATCTCCATCGAGCGTATCATCGACTCGACTATCCGGCGCATCACCATCGTTGCCGGTACCTCCCACTACGGGGCCGTCAGTCTGAGGCTCATGATGTTCGCGCCTCTGCATTGCCCTAGCGACAGGGGCTTTCGGCACCGCAGGAGCAGGAGGTCTGGGTTCAGCTCTGTTCAACCTCGTCAGAGTATCCTGATCCAGTAGCTGACCGACGTTCCTTTGAAGATCGCTCAACTGATTTGACAGAGATCGTTCCAATCTCGCAATGTCACTCGGACGTGTTCTTTCAACTGATGGCCCACGTTCGGCCTCACGTTGCAAGTAGTCAGCGTATGGGAGGGATCTTGGAGATCTCATGGTCGGCATCCGACCATCCACTCGAAAGCCTTCACCACTCGAAAGCCTTCAGGTAACGCTTGATCGTCGCGCACCCCTGCTCTCATTGCTCCATTCGACACCAGGGCAAGTCTCATCGATTGAATCACTGCCCGAGGTGTCTGCGCTATCATATCGGGCCACTCTTCATAAGTTGGTGGCGCCAAATCTGCATCTTGGAAAACGATGTGATTGAAGGGCAGAGCACCCATTCCTCGATGCCTGGTAACAGTCTGAAGCGATTGGAAGAAACACGTCAGAGATCGAGCGATTCCATACGCCGCTGGAATATGCGGGTGGATCACCGGGATACCAGACAGCGCTGCAATCGACGCATCAAGGCCTGATATAGTCGCTCCCAGTGAAGATTCGATTTCACCTCGATTTCCGAATTCAGGAGCCCATCGTGCATCCAGTGCAGAAACGGCCTGTCCGTCATATCGATTGAATAGGCACGGAATGAATGCACCGGATTGCATCTCCCGAATCATCGTGCTGTTAGCATCTTCCCGCCTTCGGCTGGTCGTCAGACGTTCAGCTATCGCATCATAGGCCAACTCACCAGGTGGATAGAAATTTGCTGGTCTGACCCCTTCTGACGCCATGATGAAACCCGCAAGCATCGCTGCTTGGGCCTGCAAGTTGACCGCATCGTCATCTTCGGCTGATGCTGCGAGCTCTCGGATTCTTGCATAGATCTCCGTAGCTTGAACCCGCCGAACTTCGTTCGCATCGACATTCGTAGGGTAATGAGCATATTGCCGCCGAGCCTCAACCGTTGTAAGCGTGCAGCAGATAACGTTGGACCGGGAGGCTTCGCAGGCATGCGTTCGGCCG